GGTATCATCTAAGAAGGGTAAGTGAGATTAGGGAATCATAATATATGTGTATACAAATTTGGGGGTTTTAGTGGCTCTGTTACAAATAGGGGTGGGAAACAGTCCAGACCGGATCATATATACGGTCTATGGTCTAGACCGAGAGACTAAAACACAGACAATGGACCAGACCATGCCTGTGCGTTTGCGGTCCGGACTAGTCCATAGATCATATTAAAAAAATCACCAACACATATATACAAAGTAGTAACACTCCAATTTCATCATTTTCAATATAATTGCACAAATTCATAAGCATGAATTTATATCCACAAATTCTCATTCTCAAGTGCAGCAGAAATGTAAACAAAATAGAGGAAGATGGAGGAAGGTGTAAATGATAGATTAGTTTGCACGAGACATGTAAAGGATTAATGTTCTTGGATGATGTGTTCAAAATTGCAACAATCAGGAGGCCAAGATTATCAAAGCACGCCGATTGTATCTGAAATACACAATATACAGTATGACATTGTGTTGGCTCACTAGTATCATTCCACACAACGTTTAACACAACATATTTCAAAAGTTTGTTCGGGTGACTTAGCTTTTCAGATCAAAGCTGCTCTCTTTCGTCGGAATTTCTCCGAGGAAGAAGGTATGGACGGAGATCGCACCAAGTCCACATAACCCCACACTAGTAGTAATTGAGCTCATGGTCTGTATGGTTAATCATAGTCTAGACCAAACCAATCCATCACAAATCGCAAGCTAAAGGGACAGACCATGAACCAGACCAAATTGTGTTCCTAGTCTCACAGTCTAGACCAAACCATATGGTACGGTCTAAATCGCGATTTGTTATATGATTTGGTCCAGATTCCCAACCGTAGTTGCAAATAGTGGGTGGGGGAGGCAAGACAAAGAATGTTTTGTCTTAGAGATTGAACTTTTGAATAGGGTGGGAGTACTGTTTTCTGTCTCAATTTCTAATAGTGGATGGGGGAGGCAAGAGATGATTGGAGGGAATAGGTAGTGAGTTGTAATATAGCGGGGACCGGTAAAGGGAATCAGAGAGGAGGCTAAAGATGATTGGAGGGAAATTAGCTTAGACTGGACAACCTTCCTTCGGCTAACGAATGAATTGACAAATAGGGAGGAGACGAGGAGAATGGAGAGTACGTTGCTGATCTAATCGAGCAGTGTCTGCGGCAGCGGAGAGGGAGAAGAAGTTGCGGGGCGGAGTACGGTGGTGGCTGTTGAGGTACGTATCTGAGAGAGGGAAGGGAAAGAAGTATAAGCGGCGGAAAGAAAATAGCTTTTGGAGTTTTCAGTTAATTAGAAGAAAAAATGATAATTTCCACGTGGCATGAATTTTGATGAAAAATTGACATGTCATAAAAAAAGTTAGTCTAGTCAGCATTTATTATAATGCCGTTAAAGTTATTGATTAAATTGCTATATCCGTATATTTTTCAAAAAGTGGCTATTATTGTAAGAAAATGCATATTTATGGTTATCAAGGTGTATTTCGCCAAAAAAATAAAGATAACTATTGTTCTTGTCTTATATAGTTCTTATGGATATTAGACAACGATATATGGACACCTAATTTAGATTAATCTCCATACATTATGTTGGATGTAAAACTTTTAGGTGAGAATTTTTATCCTTCGATAATTGCTAAGAGACTAAGACAATTCACAAGACACACCCAATTCATCAACCCCATATCATTAATATTTTTTTTTTTCTAGGTGGCTACTTCTAATGGTTGTAATATTATTTTATTAGGTTTATTAATGTACATTAATATTTTTTTTTTCTAGAATGGTCGATTTCGTTGCAGCACAAGAATCAAGGGATAGCGTACCTCGCCGAAGCAAGTTGGTTTCCTGACGGGAAAGTGCCATCAGTAGAGGAATACAGGAAGGGTAGAGATCCAAGTATGTGTTGTTCAGAGATCCAAGTATGTGTTGTTCAGCATCAGCAATTTCTCACCATTTGATGGGTGGGCTAGTGGGCCTGAAGTTTGTTTTGCCGGAGGGAGCCGATGCTGCGGCGAGAAGGCCTCCGCCGTCGCCGCCGGCGGAGAAGAAGGACCCGAACATCAGCGGCGTCCAAGCGAAAATATTGGCTAGCAAGAAGCGAACATGAAGCCTCGCCCGCCCACGGCCTCCGCCATTCCGACTAAGCTGACCGTCATCTTCGTCCTTCCCTACGCTTCCCAACTCTCGGAGAAAGAGAGGTGGGGGAAAAAAAATGGGAATGCAAGGGGAAGGAAATGGATACGGAGACGGCGGCAGCAATGTAGATACCAAGTACTCGAGGATAGATTACGCCGGCAGCGAAGCGGGTACGCCGTCGTCGGAGAAAGCCATTGCCGTGAAGAAAAACGATACGAGGAAATACGTGTTTGCCTGTGCCATCTTCGCCTCTCTCAATTCCGTGCTCATGGGTTATGGTTGGTACATAGATCTTCCCCTTTAAAGTTCCTTCCTTTCTTTTCCCGAGTCAGTGAGTTTCATATGGGTTGTTTGGCTTCCGAGAAAATTCTGTCTTCCTATCATTCCCCTGATTTGATTACGGATTTCCCCTTTTTGAATAAGCATAAGAACTTGTTCGCTCACCGGAGGCTCGTCGGTTACCGGAGGCTCGTCGGAATCTATCCTCTGTTCCGGAATCGCCAACTCCTACAAAACTCATTTAATACAATAATTATTGGATTTAGTAACCACTTATTATCAAGTCGGTTACAAGGCTTTATGCTCATTTAATACAATAGTTATTGGGTTTAGTAACCACTTTTTCTCAAGTCGGTTACAAGGCTTTATGGCCAGAAACGGCTAGCGCCGGAAAAGCCTTAATTGTGCTTTCAAATCGTCTTAATGACGAGATAGAGTGTTTTAAAACTCTAATAAAGAGATTCTTTCGCCTGCATAATGAGGCGTATTCAAAGGGCTCCCGCAAATAAATATGCTCCCAATGCCTAATTAGTGCAATCATCCAACAATTCGATACTAGAACAGATTGGCCAGCAATTGAGTCAATTCGGTAATTATACATCATTGCCGGCAATTGATTTCGCCAGAAAGCTTTTAATGGTCATCACTTTAATGAGTTTATGTGCATTTGACTATCCAAAACGTTAGTTACGGGAGGATTTTAACTGTTTCAGACTATAGTTGAAATCGACCCTCCAAACTCGTGGAATAAACTGCCTTAACCGATGCCCTGTCTGCTGAAGACATCGAGAAAGTATTGAACATTTATTCTTCAGATGCCCCCTAGCCATTAGATTGTGGACTTTAGTGGGATTGAGCAACTTTATTGAGACCGCCCAGACTGTTAACTTTAGTCTTTGGTGGCGACATGTCATGGTCTCTGAGACCGCCCCATTCCACATTCTCCAATGCATATGTTTACTTTGGAGAATCTGGAAGTTTAGAAATAAAATGACCTTCGATTTTTACCAACCTCATGTCCGTTCCCTAGCCAGCCAGTTCTACAACCAGGTCCTCGGAGTCTCTTATCTTCTCCTTCCTCCTCCACCCCGCAGTTCTACTCCCAAACCATCCTGCCACCTCTTGGGTCCCTCCGCCAGAAGACTTTTTGAAGATCAACTTCGACGCTGCTGTTTGTGCCACCGGGTGTTCATCTGGGCTTGTTATCCGTGGGTCAGACGGGCATGTGGTGTTGGCGTTCGGGCTGCAGCTTCAAGGATTAGTCAATTCTTTCCTGGCAGAGCTTCTAGCCTTTAGAGATGCTATCTCCATCGTAGCCTCAAGATCCTTGACCCGCGTGATAGTCGAAGGTGATTCCGAAGTGATCGTCAAACAAGTTCGTCAAGGCATCATAGAAGACTCGATTGGTGGTCCGGTGTTACGAGAGTGTCTTCAAATCCTTAGCTCTTTGTCTGTTTGTATAGAGTTTAGGGCGGTACCTAGATCCGCCAACAGTGATGCCCATAGAGTGGCGCGTAAAGCACTGCTTTTGTCTCGTTTAGAGGTAGAATCTTTTGATTTTTTGGGGTGACTTCTTTAGAGTCTTTTAGGGATCCTGGGTAGAATTGTAAGTTTAACTATTTTTCTCCATTGATATCACTCAGAAATAAAAAAAAATAAGAGTTAAATATGTGCTAGTCTTTATGCTCTACTCATTATATAAATTATGGATTAATTAATTACAGGATATTTTCCTCACCTAATGATAATATTATTTTATATTGGTTAATCTAGTTAACCAACAGTGGCGGATCTAGGGGGTGGCCACCCCGGGCCACGTTAGTTTATAATAAGTTTATCGATTTTAGCCATTCAGCCCAACGTTATTTTATACTAAGATTGTATGTAATTAGGAACATGGGTCAGATGAACATATTCAAATCACAACTCTAAATTTAGCTTGAAAAAATTCTAGCTCCAATAATTCTCGTCTAAAGAAAAACAAACAATGAAACCTAAATTCTAAAAGTCTAAAACGTAAAAGACTAAAAGAAATATATATTGATTAGTCGATTGATTTGTCTACTATTGACATTGCTCGTTTCAATAGTTACTATGGAGAGAACCTTTTCAGCAATGAAATAGGTGAAAAATTATTTGCGCAACAAAATGAGTGATGAATTTCTCGCCAAGTTAACTATTTTATCTTAAAGATAGTATGATATTGGTAATGGATGTAGACTTCATTTTTGATAAATTCACTATATTAAAATTTAAAAGATCGACGTGTAAAATTGATATTATAAAAAAACTATAATTTTTTTTACGTATATAATTTTCTAATGAAATGCGGCCTAATAATCTTCTATGTCCTGGATCGGCCGTTGTTAACCAATCAACCAAACCGATTAATTTTGTTGTTATATTAGTTTGGTTAGTTTGATTTTGATATTATGTTTGATAATTGATAGAATTTAGACTTATTCAATTTGGTAATTACCATGATAACCCTATGAACACCGCGCAAAACATCAAACAAACTATTTCCAAGCGACTGAAACGGTAATGAAGAATAAAATGGATGACTTGTATGTACTTAATCCCACATTTGCAAGTCTTGTCTACTCCTCCTCCCTCTGGGTCAATGCATATTCTGTCATTCTCAGCGAGACACTGCTATTTCTCTCAATCTCCAAATACATTTCTGTAGCGTTAGTCCGAGTTTTCCAACTGAAGCGGCAAACGGCAATGGGCACCCAGATTCCACCATCCACCTCCGGGGAACCTATTCGATGCAAAGGTACATCAGAATCCGACCCGCCCAATCCTCTAAATCATTCAGTTAATTAATCAATTTTACTGACTAGCACGGTTGTGAACGTGAACGCAGCCGCTGTTTGTCGCGAGGCGGGAGCGCCGCTGGTGATGGAGGAGGTAATGGTGGCTCCGCCGCGAGCGCACGAAGCTCGGATTCGAATCGTCTGCACGTCGCTTTGCCAGAGCGACATCAATTTGTGGAAGAGGAAGGATTTCCCTGGGATTACGCCCAGGATTCTCGGCCACGAAGCGATCGGGTACGTTATCATTCTTTACCCGGCCGGCGACTTGCGCCTTTTCTTCCGCCGGCGGGATTTCCCCTGCGCGTTGACGAGTTTTGGAGCGTCGCATTATCCTTCACGTTTTTTTGTTTATTCAATATAAGATTAGTCTCGTCCTTTAGTGCTATAATGTGGACGAAAACATACCTGTTATATAATTGAATTAACATAATTTGTGTGACATTGTTCGCTGAATGCTACCCCTGGATAATGACAAAGAGTGACGAAATTAAGAAGAAGGTCCGCTGAACGTGAATTTTAATATAACAGTAGTTAAAAGTTGGACGGTAATTATAAAATAAAATATTAGAAATCTAAAAGTGAATATATATAGCTTCGCATTTATTAGGCGGGCTATTTGGTACAGGTTTTTGGTTTTTCCCGAAACCGCATCGTATAACCCGGACCGAGACCGGATCGGGACCGAATAGTAAACAATTCAATCCAATTTTTGGGCTTAGATTTGAGGTAAAAAACTGTTTGAGACCGGATCGAAAACTGGATGAACACTGGATAAGAGAGTTCAACACCCAAAATTTAAGAGTAATTAGCATAAACGGTCACAAACATTTGCACTTAGTATAAAACTTAACCAACTCCTCACCCTTTCAGGCCTTAGGCCACTCAAATCCCCACAAACTCAATATAAGTCAAGACCGAATTGGGACCGGACCGGATCAAGACCGGACCGTATCCAATCCAATTTTTGGTCCTTATATTTTCGAAAAGACCGGACTGGACCGGATCAATTTGGGCCAATTTAACCGGACCAGACCGTATAGCCACCCCTAGCATTTATGCACCCAATTTTAAAAGTAGTTAAATTTGTAGCATTAATTTGATATGATAATATAGTATCACAACTAACCAATTCATTACCCTAACCCTTTAACTTTCAATTTTGGAAGACAAACAAAAAACCCTCAAATTATAAACCTTAACTCTAATTCTAAATTTCTAAACACTAAAATCTTCAAATCAAAGTATTTCTTGAATGATATTTGTGCACATTCATGTATTTCTTGACACTCTTGTTCATCATATTACAAGTGACAAATGACATTATTTGTACATGAATCGTCTGCTCATAATAATGATTATGGGGAAATTGCATTGAATGTACTAAAAAAATTGAGTGCACCGAAAATAAAACTATATGGTGCCTTCTACGGTACCCCAGATAAAATCCGGGGTACCACATACCCTGATTATGAAAACGCTATCTAGAACTCGAATTAGCAGGATTTTTGGGCATGATACTATACCCTAACCCTTAATGAGTGAACCCTAGGTCCTAATTATCTAAATCTAAACTATAAACCCTAAGATGGTGCATTGATTTTTTGGCCTATATTTGGACGAATCATAACCATCGATTATTATTTCTAATTAAATTGATCTTGACGAATAAGATTTAGAGAATTAAAGACCTAGATTTTGATCTTTAAGGGTTAGATTATAGTATCATGTGGAAACGGGTTATGTGAAATTGAGAAAAAGGGAGCTCCGAGAAACTAGGAAGGGTTTTTTGAGCTCGTAGGGTTACGCCGTCCTATCGCCTCCATGGCGGCGGTGCCTGAACCGCCGGCCGGAGGCGGAAATAGCAACGCAGACCTCCTCTCAGGTCAAAGACGACCTCCAACTGACTCCTCGTCCCCGAATCCGAAGGGGGATAGGGAAGCGCAACAGACGAAGAAGAGAGCCAAGCCGACGGTGAACGCGGATATCTCTGATGATAGTCATACTGATGTCAATATGGAACCTGCTGCGAACGCTCCGACATCACCTATGACTCAAAGTCCAAAAGCCTCTGCATGGAGTCATGGTATGGGGGCAGCACGCCGCCTTTTTGGCGACTCCGCAAGGACCGATGAATGGTATGTTGCAGACTCCGACTCGGAGGACATCGCGGAGGCCATGAGAGCGGATGGCCGGGAAGCGGAACCAGAGGAGGAAGACGACCCGCTTTGTCCGCCGATCCACTTCTCTGTTGTGGAAGAGAGACAATTCTGTCGCCCGTGGAGGTCAGCTCTTGTTGTTAAAGCTCAGGGACGTTCGACTTCATATACGGCCATATCCAAACGCCTCAACTCGATCTGGGCTAGGGCTGGTAGCATTCAGGTGACGTCAGCTAAGAAGGGATACTACCTGGTGCGTTTCTCCAACGGCATCGACTACGAGCGGGCGATCACAGGGGGCCCTGGATGATGGGCGAGAATTACTTGACCGTTCACATGTGGGATAGCAACTTCAACCCATATGAACATGAAATCTCGTCGACCCTGGTCTGGGCACGACTTCTCGAGATCCCAATACAATATTTTCATCCTGAGGCTGTCATGAGAATTGGAAAACGAATGGGGAAACCGATCAGGGTGGACCAGGCAACCCGGACAGGTGCTCGAAGTGACTATGCTAGGGTGTGTGTCCAGGTGGACCTAACGAAGCCGCTTCTATCAAAATTTCGAATTAACGGGAAAAGGTACTTCATACAGTACGAAGGCCTCGAGAGGATCTGCTTACAGTGCGGAAGGTACACGTCTCATGGACCCTGTCAATGCTCGAAACCAGCTGAGCCCATGGAGGATGAGACTGAGAGTAGTCCCAAAGAGACTGAGGAACCACAACCAGAGAAGATTTATGGGGAATGGATGATCGCAAAGCGTAAACCTCGAAATGGTAGACCCGAAGCAACCGCTACGGCTCGCGGTGCGATGGCCACACCTACGAGGCAAGCAACTCAGGGCGAGCAGAACAGTTCGGGGTCCAGATTCCAAGCTCTACAAAATGAGGAGATCGAGGGACTAACGAAGGAGGATCTTGAGGAGCCATTAGGTGCTGTGCAAAAAGAAATTGGGCTCCAGCCACGGAGTAAGGGTAAGGAGGTACCAGAAAAAGGGCATGGCGGGAAAGCTCATACCAACTCGCCGAGCCCAACAACACCCCAAGCAAGACTCGTGCAAACTGGAGAAGATATACCTAGTGGGGCCCTGGAGACGAACATTGTGCAAAATGACGGCTCTGGAACGAGGAAACAGAGAACGAGTACCCAGACTTCTTCTATAAAGGAGTCCATAGAGAAGTCCACGTTGCCACAGGTGCAAGTGACAACCCAAACCGCCGGCCTGGATACGACTCTGCATGGCAAGCAAAGTAACATGCAGACAGTGCAACATCTGGGGCGGCCTCCAGACGATCGGACCGTACCGCGGCATAATAATGCTTCGGATGGTGGAGTTGAGCTGAGGGGGACACTAATGTGCGGAACTGACGGAGTCTCTCCGTCCGGGAATTAAACCAGGGAGTCGCTTTTCTCTTACCTTTTTATGGATTTTAAGATTCTGTCTTGGAATTGTAGGGGGGCGGGTAGCAAGAGTTTTCTGAGAGTCTTTAAGGAATATCGTCGGAGACATCGTCCGGATATCGTGATTATTGTTGAGCCTCGCATTAGTGGGGATCGAGTGAATGAGATTGTTAGGAAGATGGGTTACGATAGCAAGTTTATTGTTGATGCGGCAGGGTTCTCGGGGGGTATTTGGATCATGTGGAACGCAGGAGACTTTGTAGTAACACGGCTGAATAACCACCATCAATGTCTCCATGTGCAGGTACAGAGCTCAAACTCAAGCGGGCCGACCTGGTGCCTTTCCGCGGTTTATGGGAACCCGGCGCCGATTCAAAGAAGACAACTTTGGGAAGAGATTCGGCAGTTAGCGCTTGATCAAGACCACCCCTGGCTGCTAATGGGTGACTTCAACTCTATCCTCAGTCCGGGAGAGAAGCTGGGTGGAGCACCTTTTGATGCTTCACGGATACGAGATTTCCATGACTGTGTAAGCGACGCGGGCCTTGTGGATGTCGGCTTCACAGGCCCAGCGTACACCTGGTTTCGCCGGGGGCTGTGGGAAAGGTTAGATAGAGGCCTGGCGAACACTGAATGGGTCAATGTCTTCCCGGACTCGACTATCCGCCATCTCCCTCGGCTCAAATCGGATCACCGACCGATTTTGCTGTCATCTCAGGTGCACGCACAGCCGGGGGGTCGTAAACCTTTTCGCTTCCTCGCGGCTTGGACGTTGCATGAAGATTTTTTACCTATGGTAGCTAGTGCTTGGGCAAAGGGAGGACGTTTCACTGAATCGGCTGAAGCTCTGGCCAGGGATGCGGAGGTTTGGAACCGCACTGTTTTTGGCCACATTCAGAGGAAAAAGGAAAAACTAATGAACAAATTGGAAAGACTAGAGCGCAACAGGGGAGGGGTCTTCGACAGCCAGGAATTAATCCAAGTCAGAGAAGAGCTCGAGGCAGTGCTATTACAAGAAGAGGTGACCTGGTGCCAAAAAGCTTGCTTAGAGTGGATTATATCGGGTGATCGCAACACAAAATTCTTCCATACCCGTACCCTCCACCGACGCAAGCGAAACCGAATAACTCTCCTAAAAAATGCAGCAGGTGAGTGGATCGACGACCCGGTAGTATTACAAGACATGGCTGTCACCTTTTTCGGATGGCTTTATACTGAGGAAGGGGGAGAGCTGCAGCACATCCAGGCGGACTTCCCGCCCATTGAGACCGAAAAATGGGAGGAGGTGAGCAAAGATTTGACGTTGGAGGAAGTTCACTCGGCCATCCGGTCTATGGGGGCATTAAAGGCTCCGGGAAAAGACGGCCTAAACCCATTATTTTTTCAGAAATGCTGGTCTATGGTGGGAGAATCCTTGGGTAAACTGGCTAAGGAATGTTGGGAGGTGCCGAGTAAGATTAAGGAAGTGAATTCTACCATTCTGGTTCTGATCCCAAAGGTGGCTCAACCAACAGCTATTGAGCAGTTCCGACCCATTAGTCTTTGTAATGTGGCCTATAAAGCGGTGACTAAGTGCTTGGCGGAAAGACTAAAGGAACTGATGCCATCGCTAGTTCATGAGACGCAGACGAGTTTTGTGCCTGGCCGACATATAACAGACAACATCTGCATCTTGCAAGAGGTAGTTCACTCTATGCGGGCGAAAAAGGGACGGAGAGGGTGGATGACGCTAAAAATTGACCTTGCTAAAGCCTACGACCGGATCATATGGGAGTTTGTTCGAGATACTCTCCAGGCAGCAGGCGCCCCGCCGAAATTTGTGGAGCTCACGATGGAATGTATAACGTCGGCAGCCATGCAAATACAGTGGAATGGCGGGCTCACCGAACCCTTCTACCCGTCGAGGGGACTCCGTCAAGGTTGCCCGCTATCGCCATACCTCTTTACACTCTGTATGGAGAGGCTTGGGCATTTGATTGATGATGCTGTAGCTACTGGCCATTGGAAACCAATCAAGTTGGTGAGCTCAGGGCCGTGCCTTTCCCACTCGTTCTTTGCCGACGACCTAATTCTGTTTGGGGAGGCCACGTTGGAGTAGGTGGGAACAATGTTAGACTGCTTTGAGAGATTTGGTGGGGCGTCAGGCCAGCAGATTAGCAAACCGAAATCCCGGGTGTATTTCTCAGCAAATGTGCTACCCGAGGCGCGGCAAAGCTTATGTGAAGCCCTGGGGATCCCTGAGACTACTAATCTGGGAAGATACTTGGGGGTGCCGGTGATTCATGATCGGATATCTAAAGCTACGTACACGGAGTTGATAGACAAGATTGACTCGAGACTGGCAGGATGGAAAGTTTCGACGCTGTCCTTGGCGGGAAGGATTACACTAGCGAGCTCAGTCCTCTCGTCTCTCCCAGCTTACACTATGCAAACGGTGTTCCTCCCGGCGAGTGTGCGCGATTATATTGACAAGAAGATACGAGCATTTGTCTGGGGGAGCACTGACCAAGGAAGGAAAATCCACCTTGTTGATTGGGAGACCCTTTGTAGACCGAAACCGGAAGGAGGATTGGGGCTCAGAGATGCCACCAAGACCAACGAGGCTTACATGATGAAGATTGCTTGGCGAATGCTCCTAAAACCGAACGAGCTGTGGGCCAAAGTAATCCGCTCGAAATATTTCAGACAAACTGCCGAGGGGTTGGTAGCTCGAACGACGGGGAGGCTATCGAATCTCTGGCGGGGGGTGCTGAGGGTGTTGCATCGAGTGGAAGAGGCCTCTAGCTGGAACATTAGAAACGGGCGGGTGGCCAAATTCTGGAGCGATCGGTGGATGGCGGATGAGCTGATCCTTAAAGACTTCGCCCCTAATCTCCCGGAGGATTGCTTACAGATGCCAGTCATCGACTTTGTGCTGAATGGTGAGTGTAACAGGGAGTTTCTCAATGTATTCTTACCCCCCCCCATGTTGTTTCGCAGGTTACTCTTCATCCTGTCCCGGTGGAGCTGGAAGATGACATCCGAGTCTGGCGGCTTTCGCAATCGGGCGAATTCACTTTGAAGACGGCGTACGAAATGCTGGACAGTGGAGACGGCAGCAGCGACCGACACCCATGCTGGCGGACGATTTGGAGAACCCCTACGATGCAGCGCGTCCGATCATTTATGTGGCTGATGGTTCATGACAGGTTGCTAACCAATGCGGAGCGCCACCGACGACACCTGACGGAAGATAGCAGCTGCAAGATGTGCGGCGGACCTAGCGAGAGTGCCATGCACGTCGTGAGAGATTGCCCGTTTGCGAGAGCAGTGTGGGCGGATTTTCTGGATGGCGAGCCCGACAGTAGATTTTTCGAGCCGGATATGAAGCGATGGTCTCTTTATTACCTGTCTAGTCGGAGTAATGTGGTTGACCCTACCTTGTTTGCAGGCACGTGTTGGCTACTGTGGAAGAACCGGAATAGCCTCGTCTTCGAAGGTGAGCAGAAGACCCATGTACATATCCAGTTTGACACAAAGCAGCTCAAGACTCGGATCCGCAATGCCTTTGAGCAAGAGTCGCGCATTTTCGGAGCCGGGGGACTCCGGGAACGCCGCCTCATCAGCTGGCAACCACCGCAACCGGGCTGGCTTTGTGTGAATACCGATGGCTCGGTTATACAGGCGAACGAAAGCACATCTTGTGGAGGGATCGTACGAGGGGACGATGGCCGTTTCGTTAAAGCATTTTCAGCGAACCTTGGAGGGGGTTCTATTACCCGAGCAGAGCTGGCTGGAATTGTGCATGGGTTGAAGCTCGCCTGGGAAGAAGGGGCTAGGAAGGTGCTTCTTCAGACAGATTCCAACACGGCAGTCACCCTGATTGCGTCTGCGACGACCAACCACCCACATTATACGACTGTTGCTGAGATTCGTCGCTGGTTAGAGAGGCCTTGGCAGGTTAAGATTGAGCATGTTTATCGTGAGGCGAACTTTGTTGCGGATTATCTAGCCTCTCTGGGGCATTCCCTTGCTGTGGGGATGCATGTTTTTGATGTTCCCAGTACTATGTTGCTGTACTGGCTGTACTTTGATCGAGTTGGGGTCCAAACACCCCGGTTGGTTTAATGCATAAAGGTTGGGGCGCCCTTTAAGCGCCCCGTTCTCGACCAAAAAAAAAAAGATTATAGTATCATGTCCGAAAGATCAGTCAATTCAGGTTCTGGATATCGTTTTCTTACTCAAGGTATACGGTACCCTGGATTTCACCCTGGGTACCATAGAACTATCAATTTATTTCCGTATTGAATTTTTTTATAGAACATAAATATCAAATAAACAGATGACTATATTATAGAACAAGAACATGAATTTTAATGCATCTAGTACGACCTGCACTATATAGTTATTGAATGAAATTTTGCCAGAGAAACATTGAAACGTTGACTTGGGAAGGATTTTGTTAATTCGAAAAAAAAAAACATTTGAGCAATTCAAATAATATCACGTTATTGCAATTTGGGTTAGGACAAAAATGATAATTTGGGGTCAAGATGCGTAATTCCTTAATTGGGTCACACTCAGAACTCGGGCCATCGGTCTTTCTAGCGAACCAAAGATAAGCCCAAGGTTCCCTCTGTTGTTAGCGGATCAGAAGCCCACAAATGATATAAAAAAGAAGAAAAAAGCCCCGGGAAAGTTCAAACATTTCAGCATCCCAGTGAAAGGCACCCCAAAATTTTGAACTCTCCAGTTAATCTCTACAGGATCGTGGAGAGCGTCGGAGCTGAAGTAACCGAGTTCAGCGAAGGCGACACAGTAATCCCCGTCTTCCTTTCCGACTGCGGGGAATGCTCGGGTTGCCGATCGAAGAAGAGCAATCTCTGCTCCAAGTTCCCGTTCAAGGTCTCTCCATGGATGCCGAGAGACGATACCAGCCGATTCACGGACCTCGACGGGAACACCATCTACCATTTCCTCTCCGTCTCCAGCTTCAGCGAGTACACGGTTGTGGACGTCGCTCATCTCACCAAGATCGATCCCGACGGCATCCAGATGAGCAGTGCGTGCCTGCTCAGTTGCGGCGTCTCCACTGGTAATTCTAAAAATGCAATCAAAGAAGATTAGGGTTTCCCTTTCTCATGTCCTGTTCAATTACTGTTCTGGGGTTCAGTTCAATTGAGTAGCTCGAACCATTCAGAAAAAGTCAGTTTGATGCTTATTCCGATTTATCTAACGAATCCGTGGCGAATTGGATGTTTAGGTGTGGGTGCTGCATGGAGAACTGCTGATGTCGAAGAAGGATCGACGGTGGCGATCTTTGGGCTTGGTTCAGTTGGATTAGCGGTAATGTAATTGTTTAGGAGGGAATAAGTTTTCATCAATTGAGTTAGTAGACGAGTTTGGTTTAGGTTTTTCTTTTTTTTGCTCGAACCTTTTTTAGGTTGCTGAGGGTGCAAGGATACGTGGTGCTGCTAGAATCATAGGCGTAGATATGAAGCCTGAGAAGTTTGAAATTGGTGAGATCTTATTAAGATAAACTTCTTGGCAAAGTTTTAAGATGTTGGACTTTCATTTGCATAGAAATGGATTGTGATGTGTGTCATTTACCTTTTCTTAATTTGTGTTCATTCAGGGAAAAAGTTTGGAATCACAGAGTTTGTCAATCCTGCAGATTGTGGAGACAAACCCTTGAGCCAGGTTGATCTCTGACCATTTATTTCTATCTTGAGGTTGAACTGTAAGGACTTCACTGTAGATGCCTACATGCTTAGCGTTACTAGAAGAACAACCATCAACTCTTTGGAAATATTATTATGTAATATTGAGAAAAATTTACCTTTTTGTTAAGCCCTAGTTAACATTAAATCCAACATCGTATCTACATTCAAAGGGTAATAACAGGAGTCAAATTTATTCTCTTTGTTTCCCGAGCCTATAGTGAGTTACAGATAGAGTTCGAAAAGGTCATTCTCTCCGTTTGCTTTGTTTACGATATGCTTTGATGTATAGACGTGGTCAATCTCATTTGCTCTTCTAACTGACCACCAGGTGATTAATGAGATGACAGAAGGAGGAGCAGACTATTGCTTTGAATGTGTTGGTCTGCCATCCTTAATGGAGGAAGCATATGCTTGTTGCCAAAAGGTCTGCCAAAACCATGTATTTTTTCCTCTTTTTCATGCTTTCCTTTCTGTGTTACCAATGTTTTTCATCAAGAGTCCTTTTGTTGCTTGTGGTAAATACACAGGGATGGGGGAAAACAGTTGTCCTGGGAGTTGCGAGACCAATGTCCGAGATGAAGCTCCAATGCTTCGATGTCCTTCGCTCTGGGAAAATACTTACGGGGTCACTTTTTGGAGGTCTTAAACCCAAGTCTGATATTCCAATGCTCTTAAAACATTCTATAGATAAGGTAAAGTTGCATTTACCCCTTTCCCTTCTAAGTAGATTGAGATTCATATATGGTTTTACTTGATCGTAAGGGTTGGGAATGATTCGGTTTGGATTAAATTGATATTTGGAATAGACTAGATTGGATGGATGCATTGTTAGATTTGGGTTCCATCCTCTAATTTCATAATATTTTTCGGTTTCGATTAGATCATATCTGATTGGATGACTTTTCAATTTGATTTGGATCCTCCTCTCTTCATTTCCAATACCGTGTTGGAACTTGACAAGAACTTACAAGGTTATACTTGTGCATTTCTTTTCAGGATCTTCAGCTAGATAAATTTGTGACACATGAATTGGATTTCAAAGAGATCAACACAGCCTTCGATCTGCTCATCGAAGGCAAGTCTCTCCGTTGTGTCATGTGGATGGACAGGTAAGGCTTGATTTTCACCAGTTCCTTTCTGCAACAAACTATTTGTCTCAGTAAGTGAATTTTTCATACTTCCTACTTTTCAAACGTTTGTAATATGATTGGTGATGTTCAAAACATAAAACGAAGCAACATAATAAAGCGTTTCCTAACCCCAATAAGCATGTTTACATGAGCTAATTAGGGCTCTTCATGTTAACTTAATTGTCTAGTTCCAGATTGCTTGTAGAGAGAGTCTTGATTTTATCATATGCTCGAACTCGATACCCTTTCTTTACATATAAAATACATGGATTCTTGGGTGCTTCTTTACCTACTACACGGTCCACATTTTCTTTCACGCCATGTTTAAGCTACTGCAAATCCATTAGAAGCACCAGTAAAGTAGCCAACAGCAGAGACTACAGTCTCCTTTGCTGAACCAAAGTGCCTTAGCCTGTAGACACCAGGACTCGCTTCATTAGGAATATCCCACTCTATAGTTGCCAAGCTAGAACCAGTCTTATTATCAACTCCCCACTTGAAAAGCAAGCAGAAATCATCATCATCAAATGCTGGAACCCACTTCCCTCCCCCTTGAAGCATCTCCACCACAGCAAATGTTCCTTCTGTTAGTAGATCGTACCTAGGGTTGGCGCTCCAGAAGATGGCCCTGACTCGATCTCCCTTCTTGAAATGACCATCTTTTGATTGAGCTACGTCCTGTTTCATGTCGCCAAATTTAATACCATCTGGTGGTGACTCCCCTAGTGGCTCAATCAACAAACCCAGCTGTTCGGACGAAAGATCAGGTGGGGATAACGTGGATGCGTTACTATTCCTCTCGCCTCTAGCCATTTGTTTTGCAAGTTTGTTGAATTCCTGGATATATGCAGATAGTGTATGAGGCCCGTAGAGCGTTGATGCTGCCTGCACACATTTTCGATGATTTTATTATGCAATCAAATGATAGGATAATTAATGACTATAAAGACTGAGGAGTTTGGTAATTGAATCGTACCTCGTATCTCTGACGTTGATACTCCTCGAAAGTGGAAATGTACTGGGAGTAAGTGTTGGTCAAGCCAGCAATCACAACATGGGTGTTGTCATCAAATTCTCCTCCCCCATTGGCTATTAGTGTCGCCTTTACCGCCTCTCTTAGTCGCCGACCAGCCATTGTTGTGAACTCTGCAGGTTTCAGAACCCTTTCTTAAGTTATCTTTGCTTCTTTCTATCTTAACGGTGTAATTTACGAGATTAGAAAGGATGCAAACCTCCTGGCACTGAGAGTATGATCAACTTCCCTAGCCTAAGTATCTGTACAGGAAGAATTGCCGGCTGCATCATGAAAGTAGTTCAGAATCTTAGCTCTCTTTACTCTAAAGTTCCAACTAATGCTTATGAGGACTAGTTAAACTCGGTTCTCCTATAGTCTCTGCACATTTGCATTTTCAGCTAGGGTTGCAGGAACTATCTTTTCTATGCACCCATTAGATGTTGGATGAGACTGTGTTTTGTTTGTGCTTAGAAAATGAGGTATCTTTCCCTTCTGCAGTAGCAAATGAGAGCAATGTCGGCTTACCGCCCATGGATAAGGATCAAACATTTCTCCCGTGGAGAGCAAAACCGGTTTGGGTTTTTGGCAATCTTCCTGATATTGGCTTGGCTTTTTTATGGAGTCTCTCACCATCTTCAGAAATGGATTGATCTGCAAAAAGATGACTCACATTGTATAATTGATGAGCTTCACTTTTAGAAATGATACAAGATCTATCTCATTTCCTGACCTCTGTATCTCCTTGTTGAAACCCAAACGCTCCAGGTCCATCCGTCGTCCCTGCTGCAAAACCTGGTCCAACAGCAGCCGGGCACGTCCTCACCGTGCCTTTGCCTTCTACCTGAACTTCAAGATTCGTGAAGTTCAGGTAGACATGACGATAATCGATCTTACCTCGTAATTCATCTTTCGCCGACGTGAATAGCTCTGCTGCCTTCTTGAATTGCCTGTCGCCGATGATCTTAGTGCTCAAAGTCTCGTCCGGATACCTGAGAGCATAGAAGAAGTACACAAAAGAGGCGCCAAATTAGCACAAGCAAAGCAAGTAGCAACGAGCTAAGCTCATTGGGAATTCAGGGTTTTGACTTTACCCTGGCCCACGGCCAACGCAGAGCTGGTCGTTCCCGCCACAAGAAGAGCGATTAAAATCGCAAGGCTTTCCTGTGTCGACGCAGAATGCTCCGAGAACGTTCGGCGTCACGTCGCCGACGTTCGATTGGCAGAAAGCTCCGACGAATTCCCTGTCCTTCCTCACCCTGAACCCCTGGCTGGTCGTTTCCCGGCAAGTTTCCCCGCCGGTGGCTTTGACTGTTCCTGCCTTGGCGACCAATTTGTCGATGTTCACGGCTGCGGAGGGGCTTGGTTTCCCGGCTGCGGTCGAGGAGGAGTTGGAGGCGAACCAATCCTCGAAGAACCTTGCGGCGGCCCCTTTGTTGTCGCCGCTGATGAGCTTGTTGTCTCTGGACATCGACGTGCCGTGGGTGGCGTACCAGCTGAATGCTCCGACGCTCTTCCCGGTAGCCGCGTCGATGAACTTCAGAAGGGTCATCTCCTTGTCGACGTTGGACTCGTACCTCGCTCTCTCCTCCGGTGGGTTGGCGAGGTAAGCGCTTGGGCTCCTGTTGATTCCCGCGTTCTCTACGTCCCCTGAGGACAAAGTAAAAGCTGGAAGAGTTGGAAACTTGATTTTGTGGTCTTTGTGTTCGATGAAATGACTGAATGAAAAGGCGCTTTGCCTGTGTTGATGAAAATGGAGCCGGGTTTGAGATTGTTGTGAGCCTGGACCACGCTGAGCTCAACTGCATCGACGATAGCGTCGAACGATTGTCGGACGAAGCCAAGAGAAGTAACGATGTAAAGGACGTACTGCAAATAGCCACCTGGGCCGGCGTGGGTGTGAGTGCCGCTGATCGCCACGTTTTCTTGGGTGTATAGATTTCCAAACCTTCAATCACGAGCATCTAGTTTGTTACTTAATCTTTTCCAATTCGAGAATAGTTTGGAATCTGGGTTCGCGGGTTTGCTCGTTAGTTAGTACGGAGCTAATCTTGCAAGTCGAGTTCAAATCTAAAGGTATTCGTCGGACACTAGTGTCAAATAGATTAATGTCCACTTAGATGGAGCAACTAATCTGTCAAATTTGTCCTAGTTAGAATAGTGTTACAATTTTCAAATCCTTAATTTAATTTATCACACATCCTACTATTAATCCGAAAATTAAGTGAATATGTGTACCGATACCTGGAATTCAATCTGTCGAGCACTTTAATGGTAACGAGCTGGGACGCCATGCAGCCATCTAGGTTGACGAAAGCAAACCTAGACCCGTTCGTCTCGCTTTCAGCAACGATGAAGGTCCGAGCCCGTAGCCGGAAATGGATCCCGGCAGCGTTCTGTTTGATGTTCGCATAACCCATCAAGTTAACCTCAGCAGCGGGACCGGTCATATCGTGGCTGCCCGTGCCGATCAAGTACTCGCCATTGGCACTGGCGAGTTCCGTTTCAGTGAAGCCCGCGAAGATAAGTAACAACAGCAGCAGCCGTGGTGACATTTTAAGCATCATACTAATAATAAAGAGGCAGTTTTGTAATATGATTGCTTTGGATCCGATTGCCTCTACTTATGGTTTTAGTAGGCATGGTGGCAAAGTGGCTGAGAATTCCTAAGTGGGGAGCCATTGACACTAACGTTGGTTTTGATTTGCTTAGTAAATCGCTCTCAGTAACAGAGTAAGCAAGAAGTTCCCCCTCCGGCCTCCCCCCAGGGCATATTTCTTAGGGATTGGAATTTGGTACTGCTGGCCGCTCATCGAGGAATTTGGGCGGTCTGCAAACTGAAGCCCAGACAGAGTACTTGCCCTTTAAGTAATCACAAGTGTTCTTGCTAGTGTAGGTTCATTCGTAGAATTCAATTTGTCTGTACAATGCGAATAGCATTTAGACATCAAAATAACATTTTAGAATTACATCAATTTTAACCAATCCGACTATCGTGCTTACAGGGCGTCTTTGAGAACCTACTCACAGAGTCATTGAGCCATCGATGCGTGCGTTGATCTCTCCGAGAACGTTGGATGGACGCGTCACATTTTATTTACAAATTGTCACTACATCCATTCACCGACCACAGAGCATCCATCCAATGCGCAATCTGATAGTCATGCACCCCTGTGAGTACGTTCTCACAAATTGAAACCACGGTGCCAGCCCCGTGATGCCCATAGGAGGATCCATTGAGTCGAAAGTAAAAGCATCAAAACTCCCCACTTTTCAATCTTCCAAGAAGTCCACAGATTTTAAGGTTTTTCCAACGAAGTACGTACAATATGGTAATGGTAGCTTCCCCTTGAAGTCCTTTAACCTAATCATTCAAGCTTCAGCTTTCTTCTAATGAATGCCTACCATGCATGCCTGCTGTCTTAATGATTCTTCTTCGTCGCTGGGGCCTGGGAGGCAGAAGAAGCTAGCAAGTCACTCGGTCGGTATAATGGCGAGATCCCACACCCCATACTTGTCAGCAAGTTTTTCGTAAAAGTTGGGCTGCCCCAAAAAAGCAACCGAAAGAAAGAAAAAGAAACCAAACGATTGGGGTGGGGGAAGAAAAGGAAAGGAAGGAGAGCCTAAAGCTGACATGGAAAGCAAATTCATGGTTGTGTGCCTTAATTTTACATAACTAAAAGGAGTTCATGATGATTGGATCCATTTAAATTTTTATATTTTTTTGAATTCGGCAGGTAAAATAAATATCACGTAGAAAATTGATGATCATTTAGGTTTTGAGAACTTAATGAAAGTTTAGATAGGAGTTCTGTTAGGAGGAGAATCGGTTGCAGAAAGAGGATTATTGTGAATCAATGACTTGATTTGTATTTGACATTTACAGCAATATTTATACACTGTTACAGAGGATATAGGAGAGGTTGTTGAGTAATTGAAGGAGAGTCTACAGGGGAGTTGAGGAGTGGAGACGTGGAGGGGAATTAATAAATGGAAAAGAATTGTTATTCTTTTCCTCTAGTACGCCCCCGCAAGATGGAGGAGGTATCAACGACGCCAATCTTGGATCGGAGCAGCAAGTAGCGCGGAGCAGGGAGAGGCTTGGTGAGAGCGTCTGCCAATTGCTGGGAAGTGGGAACATAATGGACGTGTAGACGGCCAGCTTGCACAACCTGGCGAACGAAGTGATAGTCCAGAGCTAGGTGCTTCATGCGTGAGTGAAAGCGAGGGTTTGAGCTAAAGCAGGTGGCGCCGAGGTTGTCGGAGTAGAGAGTGGGGGAAGAGAGCAGCGGATGATGAAGCTCGGTGAGGAGGTTCTGCACCCATTCCAATTCCGCCGTGGCGTGGGCGATAGCGCGATATTCAGCTTCAGTACTGGAACGAGCCACTGTCCGTTGTTTCTGAGATTTCCAGGAAATGAGAGTGGAACCCAAGTAGACAAGATATGCAGAAGTAGAAGTGCGATCATCTTGGTTGCCAGCCCAGTCGGAATCAGCAAAGGCAGTGAGACGAAGAGGTAGCGAAGTGCGGTGAATAGCCAGGCCGTAGGAGAGCGTCCCACAAATATAGCGAAGTAAACGCTTAAGACACTGCCAATGATTAGTTGTGGGAGCATGCATATACTGAGACAGCTTATTTACCGCATAGGCGATGTCGGGACGAGTGTAGACGAGATACTGCAGCGCCCCCAGGACTTGGCGATATCGAGTGGCATCGGTGGGAGGAGTGCCATCGGAGAGAGTGAGTGTTGCAGAGGCGGCGAGAGGTGTAGAAACAGGAGCAGCATCCAGCATATTAAACCGGGACAGGATGTCCACCATATATCGATGTTGAGATAAAAGATAACCAGTGGAAGTGGGAATGGTCTCAATGCCCAAAAAATAGTTCACATCCCCAAGTTCCTTGAGGGAGAATTTAGAGACCAACGCCTGTTGAAAGACAGAGAGAGTAGCTGTATCATTGCCAGTCAGCAAAAGATCATCCACGTAGACCAGAAAATATAGAGTGACACCGGAGCGATGATAGACAAAAAGAGACTCGTCGGACTGTGATTTCCGGAACCCAAAGTCAACAAGGAAGGTGCTGAGGGCGATGTACCAGGCACGTGGAGCCTGACGGAGACCATAAATGGCGCGGCGTAGGCGGCAGACATGGGTGGGATGAGCAGGATCAACAAAGCCGGGGGGCTATTCCATATACACTTCATCATCTAGTGGACCTTGAAAAAAATCATTGTTGACGTCAAACTGTTTGATCGGCCAGTTATGAGACAGAGCAATGGTGAAAATAGTGCGAACAGTGACAGGTTTGACCACCGGACTATAAGTATCCTGGAAATCGATGCCGGGACGCTGATGGAAGCCTTTTGCAACAAGGCGACACTTGAATAGGTTGAGAGAGCCATCAGAGTGATGCTTGATGCGATAAACTCATTTGTTACCAAGGACATTAAAGTGGGGCTGCCGCGGTACAAGATCCCACGTGTGATTGTGGAGAAGGGCGGTGTGCTCTTTGCGGAGAGCGGCATCCCACTCCGAATACTGCATGGCCTCACGAACAGAGCGAGGCTGAAGCGGTGGGGAGCGAGTAGTGAAATCAGCAGAGAACAGCTTCTTGGGCTTGTAAATATCATCCTGGGCTCGGGTCCGCATCTGGTGCGTACGAAGGAGCGGAGGTGGTGCAGATGGCTGGGCAGTGCTGGGGCTGGGCGAGGATATCTCAAGCCCAACCTGTGTTGGCTGCCCAGGAGAAGACGATGGGCCTGGGACAGGAGAAGAGGGGGGCACGGGCCCAGACAGAGGAGACGGCCCAGGCGGAGTGGGTGGCCCAGGCGCGGACGTTTGAAGGGAGGAATCGGACGCGGGGGGGGGGGGGGGGGGGGCGGCTGATGAAGGGAGCTGGGACGCGATGGTGGGCCGAGGCCCATGTAATGGGATGTGGACGATGTGCGGGCCGAGGTCCAGAGGCCAGGACGCAGCAGTTGAAGCATCTGCAGGAGGGTTAGAACAAAAACCAGGAAAATAATGTTCGACAAAGCGAACATGACGAGACAGAAATATACGATGAGTGTCGGGATCAAAGCAACGATAGGCACTACGTTGAGGGCAGTACCCAATAAAGAGACATGGACGGGAACGAGGGTCAAGTTTGTGCGACGAGTAAGGACGCAACCAAGGATAACACAAGCAACCAAACACACGAAGTTTATGATAATTAGGAGCAAGGTTGAACAGAGTAGTGTATGGAATTTGACCACGCAAGGTAGACGAAGGGAGACGATTAATAAGATAGATAGCAGAAGAGAATGCAAAAGACCAAAATGATGTAGGCAAGCGAGCATGATGCAGGAGAGTGATACCCGTTTCAACAAGATGGCGATGTTTACGTTCAGCCAAGCAATTGTGCTCAGGTGTATGAGGTGGGGTGAGGAGATGACTGATCCCATGATGAATCAGCGTGGAACATAATTTTTGGAATTCACCACCACCATCAGAGTAGAGACGACGAATGGTGGTGGAGAAATAGTTCTCAACCATCTTTTGAAAAGCAAGAAACACATAAAGAACATCAGACTTGCGTTTTAACGGATAATACCAAGTATAACGGGAGAAATGATCAACGATTATTAAATAATAATTAAAACCATCAATGGAGGTGACCGGAGTCGGTCCCCAAACATCCGTATACAATAAATCAAATGGTCTAGTGCTGGATAACGAGGAATGAGCAAATGGAAGTTTATGACTTTTATTAGAAAGGCAGGAATGACAATGACTACTGACGGTAGAGGATGATACTGGCAGAGAGTGAGTGCGAAGCAGACTGGCGAGGGAAGAGGATGATGGATGACCAAGGCGGGCGTGCCAGGACGTGGAAGAGGTACGAGTGGTCACAAGAGCAAGACGCACGTTGTCCACATCACCAGGCAGCTCATAGACGTCCCCATTATTTGCCCCCTTCATTAACGGCGCCCCCGTGCGAAGATCCTTCACAACAAAACAATCAGCAAAGAATTCCACCGAAATGGGATTAGTACGGCAAAGCTTAGCAACTGAGATAAGTTTACGTGTGATAGCAGGAGCACATAGCACATCGTTCAATTGAAAAGCAGAAGTGGAATTTTGCAGCGTAGTAGACCCAATATGGGTGATTTGCAAACCTGTCCCGTCGCCAACGAGCACTTCATCCGGGCCAGAGTAATCCGAATAAAGAGACAAATTGCCTAGATCGGAAGTAACGTGATGAGATGCCGCAGAGTCAAGGAGCCAGGGGCCAGGGGACGGAGCCCGAACAGCCGAAGTATGATGGGCCTGAGCTTGACCGGCCTGAAATTCTTGACGGGCCTGGGGAAATAAACGAAAACATTGACGAACTGAGTGTCCGGGGCGCTCACAATATTGGCAAATGACAGCAGGCCGACGTGGGCTGGAGACAGGAGGATGCGGCCCAGAGGGAGAGGGATGGACTGGGCCTAAGGGCCGCTGGAAGCCCACTGCTGGACCCGGGGATGAAGACCGCTGGGAGGGGAACCCTCTGGAGGAGCGCGACTGTGAAG